CAGCTGCTTGCTAGGGCCCTCCCTGCATTTTCCAGCAGAGAGCAGCAGAGCCTCGTAGCTGTGTGCTGAGGCTCTGAGCGAATCATCCAAAACTTCTCATAGTGCTTTCCTCCACAAAACACAGCAATAAACCTTAATTGAGCTCGCAGGTTCATGTCAGACCTGTCAAGAGCATTGATGTGAACAGAGAACACATGCTAGCAATCCAGAAAATTTGGTGCTGTCCTGAAAATCCAGGTATTTGCAGAGAATGGAGGGATCTTTCTTGAGGTGTACCTCTCCAGATTCTTTCTGTGCCCAGTGCCAAAAGAAGGTGCCTCAACTGCAACTTCCGAAGGTGGACAGATACTTGTAGTGGGTTAAGCAAACTTCTTTCACAGATGACTGGAATGGACTAGGTAACCCCTTCGTGATTGCCTTTAGCCCTATCTTCTTTAGTGCAGGAGAGGAACATGTTATTAAGGTTTGTCCCCTAAAATATTTGCTCTGGGAACCTGTTTAAACTACATTAGATTTGACTTTTTCTATTTAAAAAAAAAAAAAAGTTTCAGCTGTTTTCCTTGTTCCTGCCTCACTTCATATTGTTCTCACGAATGTTATTGGTGCTGAAAATGAATGAAAAGCATGAGACACTTAGCTGCTTTGCCAAGGTGTCAAAACTAATTAATCTGTGTGTAATCTAGAGAACATTCTCCAGAGTAATGTGACTTTGTCCCCCAAGTTTGGAAATTCACCTCCAGTTCCCAGGAGATCTTGGGGAAAGAAGCCAAATTTGAGATTATTCTGGATACTTCTCAGTAATACCAACTAGAGAAGCTTCTGCCAATCCATAATTGTCCCATTCTAATTCCTGAAGCCTAAAGCTATGAGAGTTTTATACTTTCCCTTGGGAGGCTGTCATAGACTTCCATGGCAGACCACAAGTGCTTGTGAGGGGCAAGGCTTTAGTTTTCTTAGTGTCGCTGCACTGTGATGCCCTCTCCTGGCACTGGAGGGAGTGGATGCTCAATGTTGCTGCGATGTCCACGGTGAACCTTTATCCCACCCTCTCGCCATCAGCTCATAATATGTGGGAAATCCCTGAAGGAACGGAGGGAGAGTCCAGATGTGATATTCACCTCAGTGCTAAGTGGTGCTTGTGGGGGATAATGGGGGTAAGGACAGCAGTTAAGGATGGCAGATAGTTGGAGGGTCTGGGTTTGCCTGATCCCTCCGTTCTGGGAATACTACCTTATTCCTGTGCTCCACTCAGCTGTGACCTGTTCTTGGCCAGGGGGCAGGGAGACAGACATGGCACAGGACAGCCTTTTGAAAGGCTGACACAGCCTTTGAAAGGCCCACAGTGACAGCAAGAGCCTAGGTGACCCTGTGAAGGGGTCCCTATTGAAGATATTGTCATCCCTGGACAGTGGTGAGTGGCTTTCTGCATTCCTCAAAGCCTTATGTCTAGAGTACCCCCTCCGTCGTCTTCCCTGCATCCTCCCTTCCCCCCCTCCCCAATCATTTGGCCTATATGCCAACCTAATTTAAAATGTGATGGGCACCACATCAGCCCTGGGGCCACTAAGCTGGTCTCTGCAGCCTCCCACCACTTACCCCAGGTGGGATCTGTCCTTCCTTATGGATGCAAATAATGCTTCATCTCTGAATCATAGCTGTGCATGGGAAAGGTGCAATTAGCTGCCGCAAGGAGCTGGGCCCGTCTGCCTTGCCTTGTGTAACGGAGGCTTTAATTAAAGACCCCCTGATGCTAGAAAGCTACATTAATTATTCATCTGAAAACATTTACATAGAGTCCCCCGTTTCCCTTCTTCAATAAATTATCAACTTCACATCTCCATAATTCATCAAAATGACTAAAAATACATTGTCTCGGCCTCCGTCACCTCCCTCCTCACTCTGGCTTTGTCTGTTCCAACCGTGATGGGTTCAGTATCTTAATGTGAAGTTCTCTACTGCTCCCAAGTAAGATGGGGGATGGAGGAAAAGGGGGAGAGGGAGAAGGAAAGATTTGTCTCTGCGCAGGAGTCATGCAGATGTCTTTAATTTTTCTTTTTCTCTTTCCCACGTAGCTGGCATGATACTGAGGTTTGAAGAAACTCATCGACTCTTTCTGATGAGGAAGACTTCCCTGAGGGGAGGACAAAAAATGGTTCCAGTGGCAAAAGAGGCTGGGATTTAGATGGTTTCCATGCTCAGTTGCAGGTAACTTGTTCAACCCAGAGTTCAGTAGTTAACCTGCCCAGATCACCTTCAGTCTCCACCTGTAGAACAAGCCAGCAGTTCCCTATCTGCCCGGCAGAGGGATGGTGCTTTACGAATTATAAGCTGTTCCAATATAGCTGTTGTAAAGAGGAAAAAAGTAGACAAACTGGGGCTGAGAGAGAAATTCTGCAGCAATTCTTAGCAAAGATGGCACTGTAGCCACAACTGAGGGAAAAATTCACTGTGAATAGTTTTGTTCAACACATTTCACTTTGGGATAAAGTGAACCCTCACATGGGAGAGGGGAAAAAAACAGTCCTCTGAGGGCTTGTTTACATGAAGAGTTAAGACAAATTAGTGTGAGGTGTGAGTTAATGTGCATAAGTCGAAGTGCATTAAACCCCTGTGTGGGTGCTCTAACACAGAAGGAAAATGGCCTCAGTTCACTATGGTGGCCATTAAGCAAAGCAAGGTCACTTTACCCCTGAATGATATGTCTACAGAGGGCTAAATGTGCTTTAATTCATGTGCATTCGTTTCCTGTCTTTTGTTAATTTATCTTAACTTTAATGAATGTCTTTATCTACAGGGCTTGAACAAGTATATGTTCCACCTGTGTTTCCTGTAGAAACAGGAGTGGCCTGGTGCCTATATAAATCAGATCTGATGTGTTTTCCTGGGAGCAGAGGAAGTTGGGGTGTAGGAAGAGAGGGATCTTCTGAGATGGTGGGTGAAAGGTAGCAGTATAGGTAGCAGCAAGTTTCTCAGGACATGATGAAAGAGAGAATGAAACCAGGAAAAGAAAGCAGTGACTTCAGAGGAGTTTGCCCACTGGCTTTTAAAGACATGGACTCTGTTTTCAGAAAGAAATAGAAAGGCTTCTGTGTTTGGTCCTGAGCATGTACAGGGCCTGGGTCTAAGACTGAAAAAGGGGCTGAACTGCTAACAAAGATGATGATATACTTATTCTAAGCATTGTTGTATTGACTTCTGTCTTTGTTTGCCTTCCCTTGCCCTTGTTGCTCTTTGAATTGGGCTGTCTTGACCCAGCACTAATTAGCCTGGTGACAATAGCCTTCTTGGGTCAGGAGAACTTGCCCAAATCTTGAGCATTGTTTTGTGGTGGACTGTTCATTTGTGACTTGTCTGAACTGTTAATGACGTGATATAATACAGACTTCACTCTTGGTTCCCCTTGACACAATATGTGCAACTAGCTGATGCAAGAGGTACCAGCTGGGGTGAGAAGTGTTACATTCTCTCCTTTGACTAGGTCTATAAGAGACCTTGACTATATCTGCTCCTAAACAATTGCAACAGATTAATAATGAACTTTAAAGTAATTTCTGTAGCTGCAGTGGGATGGGGTGAGGGTCACTCAGGTGTGCAGTAGACAGATCTATATGTCTACCTACTCAAGAAAAAAAAAAAAAAAAAAAAACCTACTCAAGAAGCAAAGTCAGTTAGCTCTGCACTGACCTCTCCAGCTGCTACTGTATGCACATCTGTGCTATACCTCACCGACCGGCTTAGTGAGGGTAAACATTGTCTGTAAAAGTAAAGAAATGGTAACTATCAGCCATGTTTCGCCCCCTCTCAGCCCCTCCAGGGGTTGAGGGCCGTGGGAAGGGAGGGTGAAGCAGAAATGTCCACTAGTGTTAATGCAGTGCGTAATGCACTTGGGGGATTTCTTAAGCCTTCTTAAGGTTCTGGACTGGAGAGGGAGAAATTTTATTCTAAGAATAATACAGATTTAGTCTCTAGTGTTTGACCCCATATCCTGCTTTCTCAGATCTGGGAGAGAGGACAGAGGAAGCTAGAAACTCTTTCTGGGTCCAATTCCTGGAAGACAATGCAGTGAGGGCTTTTAAATATGAGGATGCTAGCTCTGATTCAAGCTGCTACTCACAAATTGCTGGAGGCTGTTATTGCATAGGAGGGAAGTACAGCCATTCTGCTTTGCACCAAAGATGCGTTCCTGAAAGGTGTGATGGTTAGCAATTTAAGAAAGAACAAAACAGTTCTTCCTGTAGAATTAATGTAATGAGTGGTGGAGGGGAAGAGGAGGGGATGTGTGTGAGGACATATGAAATACACATTTAAATACACAGAGGCACTATCTATGGCGTAGAGGATGGAAAGGGAGGAACAGGGTCATTTGGCTCTTCAGTGGCTGACTTTTGGAAATGACTCACTAATCTGCAAGATCTGATCTGCACGATCTCGTCTGCTTCATGGCATAGGGTAGTATACCCCAGTTTGTTAACCCCAACCCAGCTCTTAAATTAGGAGTAGGTTTTAGCTTGGTGTGCTGTTAGCTTTGGGAGTAACCTTTCCCTGCTGACCATTTTCTTGGCGACTGAAGGTACCATTTTATAGTGTCTTATGGAAGAGAACACCAGTCGAGGTCATTCTGATCCAGGAGATCTCTAGAATATGCTAGGTAGCACTGAACTCAAAGGTTGCTAGCGTTCAAATGGAGTCAGATACCTACTATTAAATTTACTAAGATGTAAATAGATCTATTGCTTACCAATTAAATTATATTTCAGCCTGTGTTATTAAGGAATCTGTATTACCATACTTCTGGACACAAGTCAAACATATCTTTACAGGCATTAAGAAAAAGCTCCTATCCTTCTCTTCTGTCTAAGCAAATGGGTTCATAATTGTCCACCGTGAAGTTTTTTTTTTAGCATTTTATATGGTCTTTGGAGACGCTTTAAAAATTTCAGGGCTGCAGGTTCCTTCCAGATGTACATAAGTATCAGCTGTTAGATAGGCCACCACAGTCAAGTGTTTACTTTAAAATTTGTGTTGGCGTTAACATGCTTCAAAGTAATAATCTACCCCTTTTGTCCTGGGGGATATGACAAGAACTAATTGGTATAAACAGAAGGAAGATCTAGTTAGACATTAAGAAGCTTTTACAGTTATAAAGCATGGCCATAAGTGGCTGGAGCCTTCTACCTGTAGAAGAGTTTGGATGAACACACTGAAATGTTGATCTTGTCTTCTCCCCAAAAGGAAAGAATAGATAGGTCTTTGAGGTTCCTTTCAACTTTATGTTCTGTGATTTCATATATACCCACAGAGTTTTCTTGCCAAAATTGCCATTTGTGTTGCTATTACTTTGTCACTGAAAGCACTACCCTATCAGTGCCCCAAAGGAAGAACAAGCTAAAATAACAGAATGCCAATGACAGTGTCCTTTCTTTCCAAGCTGGCAGAAGTAGGCCATTTTGGAAGGTGATGTACATCTCCTGTAACCTATGCTCCAGCTCCCTTGGTTGAGCCAAATTGTCTTCCCGGCTTGTCAAACTAGAAAAGTGTTACCACTATAATTAGAGACATTAAAGCAATCAAAATGAGCATACAAGCATAATTAAGGCACTGTTGGTTTATGTCCCCTGCAGGCATTCTTTGAGAATAAATGACTTTTTGGTTTAATCTAAGCCTCTTCCAAAACATCACTAAAACAAAGAGGGAAAGGAATTTCTATTTATATATTGTGCTAGCAAAAGTACATAGTTTTCCATCTCATAGCCTAGCTTAGACTAGTGAAATTTCCTCACATAGACGAAGTCTAAAGGGTACCACTCAATAAGAAGCGTGTAGCTTTAAGAGAGTAAGTTGGATCTGGACAAAAAGAATCAAATAGCGAGAAAGACTTCCCTGGCTCGGGGTCAAGCCCTTCATAAAAGAAGAATTGGCTCTGTTGTGCGGGTGTGGGACATGATGTTCTGAAAGTCCCTTTCCTCCCTGTGAAGTAAAGGTACATAGAATAATTAATGAGGTCAGAAGAGTTTTCCAGCCTGGGTGGGTGAACAAAGGAGAGAGGTTGACTAGTAAGCACTGGAGCTGCAACCCTTTTGCCTTTCTGTATGATTGGAGCAAGGCTGCAGTATAGAAGATGTTGAGCCCCACTTGTGGAGCTTGCTGGGTTAAACCTCAGAGAAGCAGACGTTTCACCTCCTGGTGCATTCACAGGTTTATAGCTTGCAGCTTTGCTCATCTCCATCCCTTTTTCAATAAAGATCCAAAGCCTCCTAACAGTCGTACTGCTATGAATCTTAAGTCATGACACTGAAACTGGACAAGGGGTGGCTCTGGATCAAAACCACTGCTGTCATGAAGGTTGGTCCCAGGATGTGTGCACTACCACAAATGGCGTTATTCCACCAGCCCTGCCCCTCCACCTTCATTCTCAGGCTTCCTGGGCTTATGTCTAGGCAGGCAAAAAGGCTGCTCTGAGGCGTTCAGCTCTGACTTACTGAGGTTGAGCTGTCTGCACAAAGTAGCCACAGCCTGTCTGCCTTGGGAAAGATGGATTTAGCACTGTGTTTGCACATGTATGTGTAGGGTTGGGTGACAACAAAGAGGTATGCTTGTCACCCTTAGAAAAGCTCCTCACTCTGCCAGAAGAATGCTTTATCTTGGGAGCTTTGCAGTTGTGACGGCCAGCTAGGCCGAAGGGCAGAGGCTCAGGCTGATCGGTGGGCCAAGGCACGGTTGCCATACAGTGGGTTGCAGTGGGTGGGTATATACACAGCCTGAACGTGTGCATGTCTTCTGACCTGGCTGCCTTCAGCTCAAAGAAAGGTTGAATAACTAGAAATGACAGGTTTTATTTGAGGTTGATATTAAACTCCCTGCCAGTGGCACTGGTGGGAGGTCAGGGCATCTGCTGAGTATTCCTAGTGGTCTGGGGAAGACCCTGAAATCTGACCATCTCCACAGAGACTTGAAGCTACAGTATGTTCTAGTCCTCAGAGATATCTTCCTCAGGGCCAGTTCTTGCCTGTTGTGTTGTCCTGAGGGTTTTCAATTTGTCCCCTAATGAGATTCCACAGAAAAACCAAACCTGACTGGTATAAGGCAGAAATGTACAGAGCCAGCTACTGGTGGTGGAGATGGAAGGACATGGCCACTTCCTTTGAGGACCTGCCCTTTCCAAGAGAGCTAACAAAGGCTCCTGTAAGCACTGTAGTGGCACTGGCCTACTAGCAGCAATTCCAGACTTAGCCGTTTGCCCCTGAGCCAGAAGAGCGACTGCTCTAGGGTTGGCCTTTCGCACAGCTGTGGCCCTGACTTTTTCAGTCACCTTGAACTGCATTCTACACATCATGCATGTTCCTTCACTCAGACAACATGGCAATTAACAGATATTGCTGGATACTGTTACAGCTTCCTGGTCCTAGCAGTATCTTCACAGATAAGAAATGCCATCAACATCCGGATCTGAATGTCCCTGCACTGAGAAGAGAGGTCCCTGCTGTCCCCGCAGCTGAGAAAAGATGGGCTGTCTAAGCTTCTGAGGTAAATACCAACCACTGTCCCTGAGTTTTTACTATAGTTCTTCGTGCTACAAATGACGCATGGTAAGAGTCAATGGGAGTACCTTTCCTCCCTGCCCCCCCCCCCCCCAAAATGATTTAGCAAGAGATTTGAGGATGGAAGGGTAATTTTTTGGCTCAGGTTCTAGCACGCATGTGAGAGTAAGAACAGAAGAGTCCATGTGTGGAGATCACTATTGACGTTGCTACCTCTAGCTCTGGCTAGGAGCTTCAGCCTTAGCAGTGATTGGAGCGAGCAGCTCCCCTATCACAAAGCTTCACCTTGTTGATGAAGGTGCTGCTTTCAGTGGCTGCCTGGCTTAGGCATGCTGCATTTCCTTGCCAGGAAAGAGAGTAGATGAGAACCCTTTATCTGGGGAATCTCCCAACAGCACTTCTGCAGAGGAGTACAAATATCATTCCTTCACCTTCCTCTTTCTGTTTCTTTCTCCTGTCCCCATCAAATGTTGCCAGCTGCACAGAACAGAAAGCTGGCTCTCTCCCTTGCTCCACACCCTCTGCAAAGTCAAAGGCCTAGCGCCTGTCCGCATGAAAAGGGACAAGGCAAACGTCACAGGCAGCACCAAGAAAATCCATCCAAAATCCCGCTCCATATGGGAAAGCACAATTCCATCTGTTTGGCCTTCAGAGTAAGCTGGCTCTGAAGCTCCTGCTACCATGGATCTGACACAAGGCAAGCACAGTCTTATCAGAGCCCATAAACAGGGGGAAGCGGTGGGGGCAAGAACATCACACTGGTACAAAGAATCCTGCGATGTTGTTGCTCCCCATGATTATGCCGTTAACAGCCAAGCAGGGTGGAGTTTAATGAGCAAAGGTAGATGAGAAAAGGAAAACAGCTGAGACAAATGATGTTTAAATGTGATGGCTCATTAAACAAAAGCTCTCTACTATATCCCTTTCCTTGGCAGCAGCAAAAGGGACAATGGCCATAAGAGGCAGCCCACTGACAACAGGAAGGATTTATAGAAAATAACACACCTAATTTAGCAGCTCCAGCTCCAAAGAGCAGAGTTATTTTGCATCAAGTAACTGAAGTGAAGAGTTTTGCAATGTTTTTGCATGAGGCAGACAGCTCTTTACAGCTCAAATCCTAGAAGCTTCTTGCTGTTTGAATATCAAGGACCAAGTCCTGTTTCTCCTACACATCTGAGCTCCCGCTGTCTCCAACAGATGTTTTGGAATGCAGAAGTGAGCGCGGAGCAGGCTGTGAGTCTCATACTAATGCATTCGTGATCCTATCTGGCCTGACTTCCTGATGCTTGCTCTTGGGCCTTTGATCTGGACTGGAACCTGTAGTTTTTACTGAATCGTAGGGCTGGAACAGACCTTGAGAAATTAGCCTAATTAAACCTCCTTCACACAAGGCAGGAGCAGCTTCACTGTGTCCCACCTGCCAGCTGTCTAACCTGTTCTCAAAGCATCTGAGAGATAAAGGTTCACACCAAACACTGATCAGCCTTAGCAGCACTGGACAACTATTCTTATGTATCATTGTCATTATCCAGACTGTCATCTTCCTGTCCTCTCCAGCCAGGATGTGGAGAACAGATTATTTCCTCCCTCTTTGCTGAAGCCTTAATATTGATTTTGTAATAGGCTACCTTTCAGCTTTCCAACAACATGCAGGAAGGAGCTCCGTAACATTCGTCTGTCTTACAAGGCAAATGGCTACTCTGCATTTGTAGAAATCACGTAATTGAGGGTGTGATCTTCTACCTGAAAAAAAAAAAAAAAGATGCAATCACTCATATTGAAGATTATATTGTATTATTTATGAGAATCCTAAAGGCAATAGACAATTTTCAGATATAAAATACTTGATCCTCCAGGAACTTACCTCACTAAGTTCTTTAGATGAGAACCTGTCCCTGTGATCTTGCAGGAGTGGATTGCTTGGAAAGGGCCCTGAAATTCTTTGCCAATTCAGCATTTGTCAGGAATGAGAAAGACAGAATACGTGGTTACTTCAAATGTTAGGACAGCTGAAGGTTGGATGGCAAGAGAATAACATGTTGACTGCTCTTTTCCTGCTGACCATCACTTTGCTTCCTGGGGAAACTAGCTCAGTCAGAAATTACATTGCCCAGGCCTGGAAGATTCAGCCACTTGGCTGCTGTAGAAAGTATGCTGCTATTTCCATGAAAAAAAATCTTAACAAGAGACTTGGAGATACCAGAGTTAAACATCCTGCTCTTTGGCCTTCTTGAAGGTCAGGTACCAAGGAACTAATACAAATTCTAGGATTCCTACAGAAAAGGTGATGCAGGACAGCAGTGGTACAAGCTGTTGTTCTGCGCGTGACCGTGCTAACGTTGTAAACCACAATAAAACAAGTAATTTGGTTCTAACTGCTGCAACAGAAGGTCCTCTGTCTCCCAAACATCATTTGATCCAAGAGGGATCAAACTGACTTAAAATCAGCTTTCATCAACACCCTCTCTGTTCCAAATGAAGAACTTGCATTGGAACTGTCTATTCACAAAACTCATGGGAAGACAGCCAACAAAATACAGCATCCATATGGAACATGCTTATCAGTTAAGAGATGGCAACTCTGTATGTGGACAGGAGAAATGCTGCTGAGACAATTCATCTACAGCAGGGTATTTGCACAATGCAGTCCTCACTTCTATACCACTGTATCTAATGATCAGTGGATGCTAAAATGTTGCAGGCGAGCAATATGTCATTTTGTACATACAAATTAGTAGTCTGATTGATTGCCCTCAGACTGATTTTTGTTCAAAATTGCTGAAGTCCCATTACTTGGATGACATGGGTCAGAGAAATTAAAATCTCACTGATTATGATGTTATAGAGCAACCTAAGTCTGCAAAACAATAACCTACATATTTGATATCAGAGCAAGCTGTGTTTGCAATTGACACTTTGAAGGCAGCTACCTAATACTAATTAGAGCAACCTACGAGGAAAACAGGACACAGTGGTAAGGCAAGAGCAGCTGGACACTCACTGGCTGGAAAGCATATCACCTTTGCCTCTGGGGACAAGAGGATTTCTAAAACTAGCTGACAGCAGGATTTAGTTCCAAACTCAAGCACTTAAATTTGGGTTTCTGGCATGTTGCCATGTTGTAGTCAACACAGACCAGGTCAAACTAGTCAATGCATGGAGTTTGGAGAGCTGATTCCTGAACTGGAACGTCTTCTGAATTATATGTTCACAAAATACTGAGTCCTAGAAGCCAAGTATATATAAATACGTGTTTTTCAAACTTTTCACCCACCTGGCCTCTCATATAAATGACTTCACCCAATCTTTCTCCCATGCATTTCCTAGAGCTTTCTTAGTTCTTTCCAGATGGCCTCACTCTAGCTTCACATCAACTAATGACCATATTTTCTTCATGTATCTATTCAAAGCAGTGTAACTGTTCCAAAGCACCTCTGCATGGACAGACCCAGAAGGCTTTTGATGACAAACAGCAATTTGTTGCTCATTCATGTTATACTGACATGTAAACCCACTGAGGGTGACCAGAGCAAATGGGAGCTGGCTGTCTTCATAGATTTCCTTGAGTGCCTGGTGGGAAACGGAACACGCTCTTGCCAGTGACCTCTGAGACCACAGTATAAAAATAACCTAACACATTTAAAAAGCAACAAGACGGGAAGGATGCATTTTATGTCAATTCAGTCAAAAAGTCTTCAGAATTAGTTGCCTGAAGTGGCTGGGAAAGCTGACAGAGTATAATAGCACAGAGACTATTTTCTTGCTTCTCAGCAAAGACAGCATTAATTGTCTAGGCTTTATATAGCCTTCCACATGCCAACTGGGTGCAAAATTATGGCTAGTATTAGAAAACCACTTACCGTGTGGACAGGCTTAAAGTGCGATAAGCTGTGGGGTGTGGATGCAAATGGAATAAGCCTGAGGACAGATGGTGACCTTGATGTATGCTACATCTCTGGAGACACTGTGCCTCTTTGTTATGGACCCTGACAGAGGTGGAGCTCTTCATTAATGGTGGGACAAGAAAGGACTTGGATTTGGAGTCAGTCTTGAATTTTGCAATCTAGGTATAGCTAGAGATGTCCGAGCACAAGAGATTTACTGGAATTGGTTGTGTTTATCATTATATCTATATGCATAATACATAGACCAATATACATGAGGATAGTGCTAGGAAGGAAATCCACAGCTCCAGGTGTTTTTAACATCATGCATAGAAAAAAATGTAGACCGGTAAGCATCCTCCATCCTCTCTGGTAGGCAGTGTGGCTTGACTGGTGCACCTTCTGCTAAATAGTTACACTTATTTTGATAGCAAGAGAACAGAAATATGGCTGGGTACCTTGTCGGAGACCTTGTCTCAGTGCTTGAAGACTGCAGCGTATTACAAATAAGGTTGGACCCTTTAACACCCTGCATTGTAACATCTGTACAACACAACTTAGAGACTGTTGTTCCAGCATAACTACCTAGCAAAGCGGGCTCAGTCATTCTGTGCTTATGTAACCCCTTTTTCTGTACATGAATTGTGCCCCAATCCTGCTTTTCTCTCAATAGATTTTCTCAAAAGTCATTAATAAACAGTTTTGACAAATAAGTTACAGGCTTTGCAGTGGCTTCTTTGCCATTCTTTCTGTAGCTGGCCTCCTTGGTTATGCAGTGATCTCTCTCTGTAATCTCAGAGGAGAAGATTAATTTTAAGAGCAAGATAATAAATAAACTGTTGGTGAAGTCTTTTGGACAAGTGTAAATCTTTGCTAAAATTAGAATACATTCAGCCTAGCATTTCCGTGGTTATCCAGAGACTGACATACAATGACATCATGCAGAGCAACTCAAGCAGAAGGCTGTGATTCATGAATCAGGATTTTTGATAGGCAACCAACACTAGTATTTAGGTAATTATCTCTGAACAGGATGTTATGACATGCCTGTCCTACATGTATTGCTGGTTATTGAGACAGCTTCTTCTTATTACAAAAATATACCTTTAGTGCCTTAAATCATTAGGGCAATTGCATGAAGTGAATTACTGAGCCACATGCTGTCTTGGTGAAAGTGACAGGGCTCAGCCTGTATGGATCGATGCGGCACTGTAACTACAGAGGAGGCTACCTACAGCTTCTTGTCTGACTTGAGGAAGCATGAAACGTTTGGCAACAGCACTGGTATTGAGAGAAGCAAATAAAAAAAAGGGGAAATGAGATTATTCCAATGATTTCTAATGGTCATCTTTTTGTTTTAGTGATCAAATACTATGAGAGCTCTGTATACCTTTTCTTCTTGTTCAGCCTGTATTTCTGCAGGTGCCGCTCCTGTGAGTGCCACTGAGTGCCACTGAGCTGAGGGGCCAATCCAAGTCTGAGCTCCCAGCTGGGAGTGAGGCCCTAAGTCATTTTCTTTGAGCTGGGAGATGACTGAGTACTGTGCCACCACTTGGCTACCTTTTGCTTCCTCGAGGAAGCTGCAACTAACTGTTGCAGCTATGAGGAGGCATGAGTACCATGTGCTCCTTGTTGTATGAACCCCTCTCCTGGCCACGCTCAGGAAGGGAACAGTGTACTTCAAAAAAAGCGGCTTCTGCACATTTGCATGCTCTTGTCATCACTGGTTGTGTCGGTTGTTAGTGGCTAGGCAGTGTTATATCTGGGATCTGATTTCCTTCCCAGCCTGGGACTAGGGAGCGTAGCTGTGCTCCTCAGCTCTAGGTCGCCCTTTGGGCCATGCATGGCAAGTGGGCGCTGTCTCCAAGGAACAGAGGCATGTGAATCTCTGCCCCTCTCATTAGGACTCTTCCATCAAATTCTGTCCCACATTCAGACTTGGGGAGAAGTGGCCTTAATTGCCTGCCGGACTTCTAGTCCACACCTTGCAATAATTGCTTGAGTATATCTGAATGCTGAAATAATAATGTACAAGACCCTTGCTGTCAGGTACAGTGCCATAGCCTTGCTGGTGTTCATCTGAACCCTGCCAGCTCGAGGCTGCTTACGGTGCTCCTTCCACTGGAAATTGCCCACCATTCCCACTTCTTTCTCCCTTTGCCCTTCCCCAGCCCAGGAAAGGCTGCTTGGCTTTTAGGTGGGGGCCGATCATGGCAGGTGTATGTTGTCCTTTGAGACTCACCCACTGTTTGGCTTAATTAATCCTGACATGCTGCTGTTGCTATTACGGAAGAAATGTCAAGAGAAATTAGACCAGCTGGTAGCATGAAAGTCAGAGAAGCCAGCACTGTATAGTGCCTCACTTTCCTGGAGAAGTTTGATTTGCTCTCCCAGCAGAGGCGGTGGGAAACTGCACGACTGTGAGTGGAAGAGGCTGACCTTTATCAACTGGAGTTGGCACAGTCTCCTCATACTGAGAGCCACCGAAGGGACAGAGAGGAGCCGTTCCCCTAACAAACCAAGCTGGGGATATAGCCAGCAGCAACTGGCATGGTTGGGTTTTCATGAGAGCCAGGGCAATTCTGGGATTCAGCTTGGCGTAGGGTGCCAGTTCCCTGAAGCACAGGGCTGCAGGCAACTCTGGGGCTTAGTCAGCTCCTCTGTGAGGAAAGAAGCACTTCCAAGTTGCTTCTGTGTCTTCTTTTGTTCTATTTATCAGCACCTTCAACTGCTGTTTCTCACCACTTCCTTCACCTTTATATCTATTGACTTGAATGATTTCATACGCCAATCAGTTTTGCTGTATTTATCAGCAGCTTTCATGCTTTTTTTTAAAGCAAACAACCTTCATATTTTGATGTTCCATTAGACCATCACATTTGAGCTCTTTGGTTTCTGCAGTGATCTGATTTAAAAAAATGAAAAGCTGGTGCAATAATAGATACTGCAGCTGCACAGCGCGGCTGCATTGTAAATATATATTTCCCCCTATACGAGCATCTCCTCCTCTGTGCTTTCCTATGGGACATGTAGCTTGTAACTCTGCAGATGCCACAAGCCTGGAATAGAATTACATTTATGGAGAACTGACTTTGACACTTAAACATTGCTCAAAGTTCAGCAATGTATTTTTTGCTGTTCGTCTCGGGGATGCAAGCAAGTAAAATTTCACTTCTGCTTGATGCATTGGTAAGAAAAATCTCTCTGTTTTACTACAGATAAGCAATTAGTTTCCAAAGGGATGTTACTCACATTTAAATGTTAAGACCTTGCCATGGCATGGTATCTCTGGCTTGCCAAGCTCAAAAATAAGCAGGGCTGACAAGCACCCAGCATTGCAGACTTTGGCCTTTAGTAATGTAGAAGGAATATATTTCTGCTGTTTTGAACCCACAGACCGTCTGCATGTCCTGTTGCAGGCATTTGAGGTCGCAGTGTTGCTGTCGGTCCTGGGCTCAGTGCAGGAGTGCCACGTGGTGACTCTTCAAGGGAACAGGTTATGAGTTGTGTCGCATCTGAGAAGCAGGGGAGAGGTCAGGAACTCATTGAGAAGCGTGGCCAGGCAAACCAGAGAAGGAAGGAAAATGAAGGATAGCTTTGTGAGGGACATGCCACCCTTCCTGTCTGCAATTCAGCTGCAAAAGGCTTTACTGGCTTTGGTAGCTGTGATGGCAATAGCTGTTGTGCGCACTTAGGCCTCTGTGCGCTATACCAGCTTTTTCTTTGGGGGTCTTTCTAGGCACAGGGTTACCTAGGGCAGGAGGCTGCTGGAGGCAACAAAGTAGTCATGGTCTCTTGCCCACTGCACCTATGTGTGCATGGGAAAGCTGGGTATTGACCGTAGCTCTTGCTGTCCGAAGGGTCAACCCCACTGATCAGCAGCAGTCAGTGCTGCCTGGCCTCTCTGTGCCAGTAAAATGCTCAGCTCTCCACATTGTCCCTGCAGCTCTCCCCTAGCTGTTTCCCATCCTGTCTTGTCTCTCTGCAGGTGTAAGGGTGGCCTGCACCTCTCGTCCTTGAGACAACTGTGGCCTCTGTGGGCAGAGCAGGCCCATGGCCTTGGGAAATGTGTCCCCCCCCGCATCCACAGGAAAGACCCCAGCACCTTTCACGCTCCCTCTGCCGTGTCCTAACCTGAGTTGCATCCAGAGCAAAGACTGGTGCTATCTGTTGTATGGCCTGATCTGTAGGACCAAGCTGTCCTGCCCTACTTTGGGCTTGATCTGAACCTTATTGCACACAGCCAAGGTGTAAGAGGGGAAAGGTTCAGAAACAGGATGCAGAGATCAGTCCCTGATCCCACGTCTGCTCAATTCCCTCTTGCACTCTACTCTTTTCCAGAGATGCTGCTCTGCCAGGTTGAATGTTGTCAGGCTGTACAAAACCCTGGCTGTGTGTGGTCACAGCAGGGTTGCCTGTTCCCTGGATGAGGAGTTTTCAGGGAGTTTACAGAAAGAGGTAAGGAAACCAGGTAGACATCACTGTATCCTAATGACGAAGAAGCCTTTGTCTTGCCGGGAGAGCTTCAATAACTGTGAGCGTGGTGAGCAGCCTCAGGCAGCCCAGTGTGAATGGGGCTGTGCATTTGTGTGATGCTGATCCCAGTGCATTAGGTGGGAATGCACCTCTGCCTCTGCTCTCGCTGGGCACGTGGCACCACTGAATGAGCTGGGGCTGCATCGTGGTGCTGCCACACAGTGCTTCTGCTTTTCTCCGACTTTGCCATTTTGTGCATGGGAAAGCACACAGTGCTTACCTGGGAACCCCTGAGGGAGGGGGAGACGGGCAGTGGGGAGCCAGGGCACCAAGCATCTTGCATCAAGCGTTTCTTATTGTGGGACTGAGAGGGGTTATTTCCGATCTTTCCTGTCTTGAAAAGATTCTGTTTTCTTTCTCTATCTGAATCCCTGCCTGGGTGAACTACAGAGTCCACTGAAGTGGTAACCTATGTTGTGTCAAAGTTATAATCAAAAGCATTGAAGCTCATGTGAGAATCAGATAGCATGAGTCCGAGGTCAGCACAAATGTATGGCGTTATAGAAGCCGCAGCCTTGCAGTCCAGCTGGGACACAAAGGAGGTGTGTTACACTGACCAAAACTGCCCACAGTTTAGCAAGTTGAGGGCATTTTAACATAAGCGCATGCTGAGCCCTTTGGGGCTCTTGAACTGGGTGTGCCTTGCGTTTCAGATTAATTTGCAGCAGAGCAGGTGAGATGCGGAAATCCTCAGAGCTCAGGATCCCATCTGTATTTGCAGAGTTATCTTGGGGCTTCTCAGCCATATCAGCAAAACTGACTTCTTCAGGGATGAAGGACTGAGACAGGAGATGAGGACTCTTCTGGCATGGAAGAAGAGAAGAGCTGGAGCAACCACTGTTGGTGGGAGGAAGCATTCCTCCTTGCTTGTCCTATGCGTCTACAAGCCTTTGTCCTATTGCCCTACACACTCTCTGCCTGCTTGAGCGCAGCAGCCAGCCTGGCTCAGTGATTTGGCCTACGTGAAGCAGCTGGTGGGGTCACTGTCCCACACATCTCACCCCTCAGTCTAACCTACATTGCTCAAGGGCTAGGCCTTGCATATAGAAGCCCTGATCCTTCTCTTCACAGCTGTTGCGCTAGACACCCCAGGCCACTACTGCAAGCATGGTGTTTGCTGTGTTGGCATTCATACAGTTTTTGGTAGAAGGTGATGCCACTTTCCTTTATCCCAAACCTCAGCAGGTGAGCAGATGTAGCTGTACTGATGGAAAAGATGGCTACACCACCATGCTTGTCACTGCCACCTTGTTGGAAGCTACTGGCCCTGCCAATCTGCCAGAGAACCTGTTTGTATGAGTTTTGTTCCCTAGTTTGAGTCAGGAAAGATCACCTAGGTTAGCTCACATCAACCATTTTGATGGCTCCAACTGATCTGTTTGATTTTTCCATAACTCGAATTTGGGGAGGCTCCCATGAACTGCTCTCCCAGCAGTGCTGTGTAGGCTCTACGTTCTGGCAGGGGAAGTGAGAACAAGCTGAGGTTCATTTGCTTTTCCACTGCCATGGCTGAATCTGAAAGAGGACACCTCTCCAAAGCCTAGGGCCTTTCTCACACGCAGCTCTGCTCTGGGTTAGTTAAAACAGTGTATTCTCTCTAAGCAATCTCATGCCAGTATAAAAGTGCCTTAGATTTCCTTTTAGTTCATAATTTCCTTACTGACTGAACTTGGATCATCATGAGCTGTTTTCAGTCCTATAGAGTGCTTGGGAAGGAAGGGTGGGGCTTTCAGTAAGTGTGTATAATGCCAGTGCAATTTTATGGGTAGGTAAGCTCTAAGCAACATGACAAAAAGAGTATGAATGTTCAAAATTAAAGTCAAAATCAATAGAGTGTGGATGGCCCAACAGAGTCCAGCAATATGAATCAAGTAGTAGGAGCTACTGTCAATGTCCATGAGCAGAGAAAGACAAAGTTCATAAAAAAGAAAAAAAAAGTATATTCATTCCACATTATTCACCAGCCACACTTTCTCCTCTGGGAGACCAAACTGGTAATGGCTGGAACGGGGGAAGGCACAGCAAAAGATATAATGAACATGACATTTTTCATGTTTTGACAGCTGATTTTAAACTCTCCAGTGCCTTTGCTCAGGGTGGAGAGGTTCTTTGTGAGATGCGAAGGCCTAAGCAAAAACTGTGACATGCAGAGACACCCTGAGATTTAGAGGCGTTAGCTCTGAAAAATGCTATGAGGGTGGTTTTCCACTGTTGTACTGCAGGAACTCCTCAAAGGAAGGAGAGATGCCCCCCTCCCCATGCACTGTTGGGCTGCAGAGTAGAAGTGAAAGGACTAGCACCCAGCTAGGCCAGGAGGGCAGGTCTGCTGGAGGTTCCCATGCCCTTTTAACCATATTCCTGAATAAACCTCTAGAAGCTATCATTAGTGTCTCACCACATTATGATAAGATTTGGTGACCAGCTCCTGTGGGCTCTTTAGTAAACCTGGGCCTTATTAGACTTCTTCCAAAAAGTCAGCAGAGTCTTTGCACATTTGCTTCAATGTTATTAATTTACAAGGGTTACTTCAATTAGGAGAGTCTGTTAACTTGTAAAACTTTACTTATTTACATGGTTTCTTGGAAAGGGATTTTCTCAAAGCCTGACGATGATAAGCTTAGGCATTACAAATCCTCTTGCTGCTTTTGTCAACAGGCAGGCCAAGAGCATTAATTGGAGAGATACACTCTTCTCAGCCGTGGCTTTGCTCCAGTTCCCTGCCGCTGGGCACAGCCTGTAAGGCACCGGCTTCCCCTCAAATCTGGAAGATCTCTGCACACTGGCATTAGCTTCTTCTGCAGCTGGAAACTCCTTTTGAAAGAGAGCAGCAATTCAGGATGTTTCTTGCAACCCACTTTTAGACAACAGGCAATACAACGCTGCCTTTGCCTCAAATGCAAAGTGCTCTCCCTAAGGTGTGCACCATACACATCCTTCCCGCATGAAGCTTCAGCAAGGAGAAACATGGGGGTGCACTTGGGCCTCAAAGTGTGCTCCAGAACGTTTTCCAGCCAAGTGAAAAATTAAGGTTCAGATTACGCCTACAGAGAAGGGAAACGGAGCACAAGTCAGTCACAAGGTGAGGAGGACTGGGAGTTTAGTGACCTCCAGGCTGCTGTCTTGATCACGCTGGGGGTGGGTCTCAACTGCTGGTTTGTCTAGGAGCCTCCAAGTGATTTCAGTCCAGGCCAGTTACACAGCTCCGTATTATTCACATGGTAAACATGGCAGGTGAATGCTGCTGATCTGCTGCTCCTAGGAGGTACTGTTATACATCAGCGGTATGAGGAACTTGGTGAAACTTCTGCCCTGCCCCAGCCCGGGGTGTTATTTGTCTGCGAGGAGTGTCTCATTCCTGCGGGTTACTGAGATTTTGCTCTGGGCACGTGGTGAATCCTCATCTCCCTGATGTGCAGAGACTGCTGGTGTATGAAGCGTGAAGTTTTAACCCCTCTAGCCTGCCAGGATAAGTTCTTCCCCCGTGATGGGTTCACCAAGGCAATAGGAGGGAAGGAGAGCTGTTCCTGGTGAATCAGTTCATTAGCTGGTTTGGGATAGAAAGCCACTGCCTCAGGCAGTGGAAAATAAGGGTTGTATCCAGCTGCCAGATCTAGCAATCAATAATAGAGACAGAGAGGATTTGACATAGGTCACGTAAAACTGAATTATTGCTCCTTTTGACCCTGTGTCCAATGTCTGCCTGTCAGGCTACTCTGCCTTCTTTATATACTTTTCAGATGATTATTCTATGTATTGACAGTTGCCCTCTCTGAAAGCTGCAGAGGGAGGGTACCCACTGCCTTCTTATGCAGAAACTGCCAATAACGAGATTCCCAAATCAGCTGTCTCCTGAAATTGGATGCAACAGGTTCTCCCTTCATTAAGAGCTCCATGGTTTCATGAATGTGTCATGAATGTGTTGGCAGCCTTTGCTGCCTTGAAACAGATTGTTTCCTGAAGCAAACTGATTTTCCCTGAGAGTCGATGTGAAAGCAATGCTTTTGCAGCCCTTCACCGCAGCTAACTTCCACAGGTGTCTGTTCAAGAACTAATAGGTGTTAATGTGCATGCAAGGATGTTGCTAGGAAACTTGTGAGAGCTAAATGAAGAAATGCTGCTAACAGAAGCAAGTGACAAAGCTTAGAAAGTCTTTATTTGCAGCTTTGCTGATGGCTATGATTACAATACAGGGCTAACCGCGGAATTGTGTTGGGTCATCCCTGGTGTTAGTGGGCCTGCTTAATGTGCAACAGGAAAAATCATGTTTTTGCTTCTCTGATGAGATTCTGCTGTACAGCTCCATCCCAGGCAAGTTTCTCTGTGCTATCTGCCTCTGCAAACGGGTAAGCAAGTGCTTTTCCTCTGGGTTAGTTTACGGGGACTCTGCTCTGCCCCATTTCAGTGTACTGCTTTGGCATACCAAATTTGTGTCATTTGGTGGGTGTCTGCAGAGCTCTGAGTTCAGGGTATGTTTTCACAGTCAACCTGAAAATGTTCTGCAGTATCTGGAGCACCAGGGGAGGTGACTTATGCCAATGCCTTTGCATGTCTCCAGTGGGCGTCCTAGTGTTCAATTCAGGTCAAAGGTGATTTTGACTTTGAGCGTTTCCTTCCTCGTTTGTGGTGTAAGAGGCCTATATAGCCCAAGAGATGCAAAGCTAATAGGGAATGTTAACATCTTGTATTTGGAAGAGGCCAGAAAACTTCCGGCTCGGGTTCCCTGTGGATACTTTTAATACATGATCGTCCCAATCTAATTCTTCTTGTCTTCCCCTCCCGAAGGCACATAATTTCTGTACCAAGTGCTGCTCTTCTTCTTGCCAGAACTGACCTGGGGCTTCTCCCAAAAGGTTAGGGAGTGCTGAGCTTGCCCTCTTTTGGAGAAACATGAAATTGTGTGTGTTGTGTGTTTCCTAAACACTATAAAAAACAGGGCTTGTAGTCCTGGGATGTTGGCTTAGTCCCAAATGAAGCTGTGACGTTCTGCTACTTTGACATCATTTCCACCTTCCTAAATCCATAATACTTCCCTTCAGGACATCACTTGTTGCATTTATTTTTTTAGAAATAGCAAAAAAAACCCCAAAAAACAAAAAAAACAACCCACCCCAGAATCAGCTCCAACAGAAAAATTTCCTTTGAGAATAACCATTGTTCTCCCAGCCAAGAGTGACCCTCAGATCCCAGGGTTTCAACTAGAGAGGGAAGCCTTGGGTGTGGTGTGTGGATGAGAATGAGTTGTGTGGCAGCATAAGCCTTTTTGGCATATGTTGGGGGTGGAGTTGTTCCTTGCATGTCCTGCAGTGTGACTCATTTATGTGGCTCATCCTGAAGGAGTTCTGATAACTTTTTAGCCCATCACATGCCAATTGCTGTTGCAAAAAAACTGAAATATTTTAGTTAGCTTAAAATGTTTACTGGAACAATTCTACCTTCTCCTGCTCCCTAATGTTCAAATCTGGAGACTTTTTTGGGTCCTGAAAAAGGCTTTGTGTGCCCAAAAGATTGTCTGATTTTTCCATCTCTTGGCTGATCTAATAAAAATATAATTCCTGTCCCTACAAACCTTGTCTCATCTACAGCCTAAAGCCTTCACAACTACAACAATACTACCACTGTGAACACAGTAGCCTCCATTCCAATGAATCCAACTGTGCAGAGCTCAAAGGAAATTAGCTGTGCAACTCTTTAAAAATGACTCAAATGCATTTCTATGCACAAAAACATCATAGCATTAAAATCCTGAGTCTTTTCAGGACGTGTCCCCATTGTGCAGCTGGGAATTGCCCTTCTCTAATAGCATGAAGCTCCCATTTCTATCCCTTCATGACCATCAGACATCAAAGATGAGAGGGTTTTTGTTGTATGGGGTTTTTATGCCTAGAAAAGCATTCTGCCCAAGGCAGAATCTGAATCTCGTCTGTCCTGAGTGGGGATAGTTTTGGGAGAAATGCCTTTGAAACTGATGAGTTATTTGTAACACTAGAATACATCTCAGTGAAGGATGGATTAATGGGTAGAATACAGCTGAGCTGGTGCAAGGTACATGATTAATTCAGTTTTGATAGGGCTGTATAATTTATAGCCTGGATCACACCTCCAATTAGGCATATCACAGAAGTATTCTTCATTTCTACAGTGGTAGAGTCTTGGAGTACCACACCTGAATGTCAGCCCTGATGTGCTTGGCGCTGTACAAACAGAAATAATCATTCAGTGTGAGAAAGAGCACCTGAAAAATGTTGCAACTATTTTGGAAGCTACTGCTGCTCAGTGGTAAAATATTAGAAAATTAGAATTTTCAGGCTTAGTGAATTCTGGACTCTATTTCCATAGATATCCCAGGTTCTGTCTTTGCAGCCATTCCCTTGTGGAGACCAGGTTTGGTTATGAGAACAGATAACCTAAGGAAGGCTATTTAAGAGGACAGCAGAAGCATTGCAAACGTGGATGTCTGGTGATGCTGTAGATGATGTTTTTTGGGTGCCAGGGGCGCCAGACACTGAAGTTTTGCTCGTGAGGAATGTGTGGGTTCCTTCCTTCTAGCAAGCTGAAACTGTAGCACAGGGCTATAGAAAATAAGGTGAACGTACTTGTAAAGGAAGCAGCCCGTCTCAATCGGAAACAGGCACTATGCCGCATTATGGGCGTGGTGGAGGAGTTGAGTAAAATGAGCTAGAATGGTTCAAGTCGTGTCCCCTGCCCTTTGCTGGAGTTCCTGGCTTCTCCTGGCTCCTGCGAGGGCAATAGCTGCCATTGCTGTGTGCCCGTCTCTCAAAGCCCAGCAGCCTAGGGAGAGCAGCCAGTGAAAGCAGGCTTAGACTAAACTGCTGCCCTCTACGCTCTGGTGGGAGCTAGTAACATCTTCCCTCATCCCCGGGACTGCTAGGTGGATGTGAGTCAACCCCGCTGTTGCTGTCACTGTACTCAAGCCAATGCTGAGACACTGCTGCTGTGCACCTGTAGCACTTGCGAGGCTGCTGTGAGAGCTCTGCTGTCTACCTTCACCTCACACCTCTGGGCTGCTGTTCACTGCACAGCTTGTGCTCCCCTTGTTAGTTATTTAGGAAGTATCGCTGCATAAATCAGTATGCAGGGAAATAACTTAGCATCTCTGCCAGGTGTCTGTTTTCTTGTAGTGTTCCCCGGTATTTCAGACTAGATTGGTAATGAGCAGAGAAGACTGCAGTGCTATATTTGTGTGGTAGTGAGATGCCAGCTCCTTAAGTATTCATTTATTGGGCTGCAGGCCAAGGCATATTCTGGCCCTTGACTGCATGTTACTTGCTGAATGTACTCGGTCCACTGGGGAAGGCTTGAAATTTTGAATCCAACAGCACTTATGCATCATTGCACGGTCCTCTGATTTTGCTAGCAACATGTGAACAATGAGGAATGGGGCTAAGAAGGAAAGAATTAATAAGTGTTGTTCATCCAAGGAGGGTCAAGATCAGCTCTGTGGCTTTGGGCTCCCTGTGGTGCAGCTGAGATAAGGACTGTGCTCCTGTCTCTTCACAGCATCAAGGTCCATTTTATGAGATGCTTATGAAAAATACGGTGTGTACCTGCTTGCCTTTGCCTTCCTAGAGAAACACAGCTGCTTTGTTCTCTTTCAGGAGAAGGATTCATCCTTGGAGATTACAGCTCCTTGAAACCATTTTAGAACATAGTATCCCTGGTAACTGGAGCTGCTGACATTTCTATACTCAGAAGAAATTTGTGCATGTTAAACTGAGACAGGTGGGGGAGGATACTTCAGGAAAAGCTGCTCTGAGCCGCTGGAGGTGGGCTCAGGAGTCCATACGAGGTGCCCAAACTTAACGTTATACAGAAGTGCAAACCCAGTGCTCAGACTGTAATAAAGGTATTCTCTTTCATACAGTTAGGAAAGTCTAGGAAAGTCAGTTAGGCCTTGTCTGTCCATGCATACGTTTTAAGTTGTTAAACTAAATTGGTGCATGCTACTTTTGAGAAAACTTGAGTTGGTAAGCATGATTCAGTAGGAATCCATAAGACTCAGTATCAAGAAAAGCACTTTTGTTAAAAATTCAGTTGAAAAACTTGGACCTGAACTGTGCAAAAGCTCCTGTTTTAGAGGTGTCTGGGTACAATTATACTGGAGATGGTAACTAGGATTTCTCAGATTTATTTCAAATTCGTATTACAGTTGTACCCTAAGGACCAACTAGTAATGAGGCCCTCCCATAGCTTGGTCCAGTGCATGCCTTTGAAGAACATGCAGACTAAGAAAAAAGTGAATTTATTATTAAGGGCTTTAGCTAAATTGAGTTGAATCTGTGCTACAGATCTGAGAACTCCAATCGATTTCCAAAAAAACTGATCCTCCGTAATTCTCCAACTGGGTATGAAGGACTAAGTGTTCCTCCCAGCAGAATATGCTCTTTCTGGCTGAACAACACCAGGCTGCATGTTGCTGCTACCTCATGTCTTTTGGAACCCCCTGTTTTTGAAACTGCAGCCTTGGGGGAGGTCATACCCTCCCTGTTCCTGCACGGGGTGGCCTAGTGGCTTGCTAAATGCAGTGTAGCGTTGTTGGTGACAGGCCACAGGCGTCATACTACCTGCAAGGCCTGGGGACTTGTCAGGCTTTGTCTTAAGGTGTCTTGGCGTGCCTGGAGCTTTATTCTAGCTTATTTAGCTGTAACAGCTTTTTTTTTTCTGAGGATCAGGTGGCTATTGCCTAATCTGTTTTACTTTTGCTTATCTTTGTACAGTCATGTGATATGGCCATAATTTTTAAATAGATAGTGCTAACTCATTGTTCTTCTGTGTCGAATGAAGTGGTTATGACCCCAGCATACTGATATAGCACAGAGAAATACAGGCCTGGTGTGATAACAGCGGCCTTGAAAGAGGGGATGCAGCATGCAGTGTAGAGGGCAAGCGTGGGATGATGAGAGGGGGAGGGTAGCATAAGGTCAGAGACCTCAGGTCTATAAACAACTCACTGGTGATCAGGTGAAGAAATGCAGACCTGAGAATTGGGTAAAATCAGTTTTAGGGATAGCAGAGAGAAAAAAACCCAAAATCTAACCTGGGTAAAACTCTCCACATATAATACAGTTTTTGGGTGTAATGTGGAATTGAAGACTGAGTAAGAAGAGCAAGATGTAAAACCCTGTTAGAAGATGTATAAAATAGCTCCAAATGGACATTAGAGAGAGGAGGAAGAAGCTGTCAGCAGCAGGCTTCTCCCAGCAAAGAGAAAGAAGGGGTATATGCCAGGAAGTGTCTGTAAAACAATTTTAACTGTATTATGAGACTGAGACTTTTTCCATCTAATAATCTTTTGAAAAACATCTTTTCTGTAATAATTAGAACT